GGCTACTATTGCTGACTGGGATAACATGGCTGTTTGGATTTCTTAATGAATATTTCGAATCTGATGTTCTTGATTATTGTTTTATTGTACTGATAGGTGGACAAGGGATTTTCCTATTGACTGCATTTTATGCTGGGCGACTTTGTTGTACGTTAAAGAGAATGCGCGTATATAAGGCATATAACAATGACACGAGTGACAAAAATGTAATAAAAAGGCAAACTATCGGTACTCAAATTGAAGATACAAAACCTTGAATATTTAAATAAAGGGGAATATACCTATCCGGTAATCTCTACTGTTGTTATTTGCCAACCATGACATAATATGCCATTAATTCATTTAGCGCTACATTGTGACGTGACGTAAACAACTCTTCTAGATAGTTTTCAAAACAAAATTCAACAAAAGTTTTTGTTTTTATCAGATTTTTCAAACAAAATGGCGAGAGAAGTCCCTTAAAAATAAATATGAGATTTCACTCCGCCCACTTTCATATTTATATTTCATATTTATTTTTAAAAAATATGAAATATATTTTACTGATAAAGCACCATATTTCATGGGTAAAATTAAATAAAAGATTAAAATGTGTGTTAAGCATTCAAATATAACACACTTTTCGCAATTTATACTGTACATGTTTATGTCAATATATTTTTTTGTGTTTTCTCAATTATTTTACATCAAACGATTTCAAAGCAAGCTGTACTGAAATATGAACATTTTGGCTGGTTTCATGTTTTTATATAATTTTATTGTCTTTTATATATTTATACATAATATTAAGTATACTTATCTGATTAACATTGGCCTGGAAGTATGCTTCCGGACCTGTAGCTTACCTCAAGTATTAATAAGTTCAGTAGTAATCTTCGACGTCGAATTATTTTGTGAAATGTATACGTGTGTCCAACTTTGTGTGTACTGTGTACGTGCGTTGAACTATTTTGTATACTGTGTACGTGCATTTTGTTTGACATTGGTGGATACATAAGATATCAAGACTATCTTTTACAAAAATGATATAAAAAAACTTATGATTAGTAGATTTTTAACATTTTCATTCGATGTTCAATCACACTTATATATTGTATAGCTTTTCCCTGTCTTTTCTTTTTTGTACATGCATATTTTATAAGATTTTTAATTGTATAGACTGTCATTTTAAAATTCAGAAATTATCAATCATTTGTAACCATTTGAAATTTCAATTATAACACGTGTTTTTGAAAACTTACAGTTCAATATTGTCAATGTTTGTATATTTGTATTGATGTGTATTTACGATTTTAATAAAAAGCAAAGGCCTTAATCCTTTTTTAGTGGTGTTGTTTATTTTGCCCTAGACTAAAGGTCTTATTACCCATATTAAGTAATATCTGATTTATTTTCGTTTAAGTTAAACAAATTAGGAAAAGAAAAGATTGATATTTTAGTTAATATAAAGGGAAATATGTAATTACCATATTATATACGTCTACAATGGGAAAATTACCAATGATAATGATTTCATTTATTGAAAAGTGTTCTTAAGTATTGAAGAAAGATATTATGAAATGAAAATTAAAAAGATAACTTAACTGTAACTTATTGCTTAATATTGCACTTGAGTTTGAAACTTGGGTCTTGAACGCGACGCTTCAATCATGATTTTGTAACGATTTATGCCAAGGTATTTGAAAATCCTTTAATGCATGACAAGATTACAGTCTGGACACGAACGTATACCTCTAAACTTTTCTCGTGAGAATGAGCACCTGCAAACTACAAGAATGACCTTTACCTCGGAGGTAGGGACATTGGCCTTAGACGCGACAAATCTGCTTGACATAGACGTAAACGTTATGCATTTTAAGAACCGTCCATGCATGACAAAGTTACAGTCAAAACACGAGTGTGTTTACAATTAAAATACAGACACGAAGTTTGACCAGGTACATGTGTCTTAGTATCTGCTATAAGTTATTCAAAAATAATTTTATTCATGACACAATTACTGTCCAGATATGTGTGTAACTACTTTTTGCAAATGTGAACTTTATAACTGTACAAATGATCTTTACCTATAAGTGTGACCTTGATCATGGAGGTAGGGCATGGGTTTTATGTTCAATATGATGTATTGATGTTGCAAATAATTTTTGCCCAGTTATTTCAAAATCCTTCAATGTATGACAAGGTTACAGCACGAACAGAGGTGTACCTTAAACATCTAAGTGTGACCTTGATGTTTTATATGGTGGCATGTAGACTCCACACGTCGGCACGATGTAACAGACATTAGTACCAAGTTATTTGTAATCCTTCCGTGCATGACAAAGTTACAGTCCGAACACGAATAAGTACATTCAATCTCTTCTCATAGGATTGAGAACATTCAAACAATAATTCTGACTACCCATGGTGGTAGGGACATGGGTCTTGGGCGCAATAGTCATATTGATTTAGTAGACAATTCTACCAAGTTATAAAATAATCATCCCTTAATGCATGGCAGGAAGATAAATTCTAATACCTCCTCCACACCCCTCCTTGATGAAATAATGCAAGGGGAGCACTGTGGGTTATTCCAATGACATATTTTGAAACTATTCTATATATCTCCTATTTGTGTCGTATTTAGACTTTAAAGTTCAAGTATTTTCAGCTCACAAGAAATGCTTTGCAACAATAGCACCCTTCAGTCAAAGATACATAATACGTTCAAAACAAGAATATCTGTTATCTGATATTTAAAGCTTTTTTCATTTAATCATTTGTCTATTTAAAATCTTAAAGAACTAGCAATATACGTACAAATAAAATAAATTGTATATAGCCTTAAAACTTGAATCTTTTTTAATCAATTTTAATGCACTAAACTTTAAGAAATATAATCCTGTTGGAAAAATGATGGTTCTGTAAATGAGGCAGATATACCCGCCTTGTCGGCAAAAAATGAATAGAAAGCTTGTGCCTTAAACGAGAAAACAAAAGGCGGAACAAAACAAAACAGAATGTTGTAAGGAAGTCGGAATTATGAAGTATGCATATCACAAATAAGACGCCATCAGACAAGGAGTCTGCTTACACAGTGACCACTTTCTATTAGGTTAAACGGATTAACAAATTTCAAAGTCACAAAGTCACAACGGCCATACTACATTCCATATATAATTGTAGCTAAACCAGTTACACATTTGTTCCAATAGTTTACAGAATTACTCCAAGCTTACATACCTTGTAAACTTATGATCCATGCCTTATGATTAAGCCTGCTTACAGTGACTGAATCTACCACTGATCTATCAGTGCATATCATCGTGGTCTCCGTTGCCTACTTTTCAGTCTTAACATACGTTAATAAAATCCTTAAAATGTACTGTCAAGATAGACTGATGAACATTCATCATGAATTCACGATTTCAACTTCATGAATTCACGATTTCATCTTTATGAATTCACGATTTTAACTTCATGAATTCAAAATTTCAACTTTATGAATTCACGATTTCAACTTCATGAATTCACGATTTTAACTTCATGAATTCATAATTTCAACTTCGTGAATTCAAGTGTGGATGACATATTGTCCAACCCAGGGCATCTTTTCAGCATTGTTCGTTGCCGATATCAAAACATGCTGATTGAAAATGAAAGAGCTTTCATCAAGGTAAGCGTGATTTTTTTTAAAATCCAATAGTCCCACACATCGTTGTATATGTTTGTAATTTAATAAGTGTATACATTTGTTGTAACTTTATTTACTCGGCACATACTCGTATTTGAGCACTTTAGTTCAACTCGTTTATCAGAATATATTTAATATAACTGATAAATTTAATTTTAACATTAAATTGTTGATCTTTTATTATGTAATCGACTTCGAGTGTTGTTCAAAAAGTAAAAGGAATGCGGTTCTATACGCAGTATGGGTTGAAACAACCGATATATTTCTTTAGCATATTGTGATTTCGAAACATATTTGCCACAACTGAAAACAATTTATTTTGATACATTATGCGACACAATTTTTCCTCAATGATTTAAACTCCATGGTAATCCCCAATCGGCACAATCAGATAAAATCATGTTTATGGATCCAAATACATAGTTTTAACTTTTGTTGATACAAAATTACGCCAAATGTCTCGCCGTTTATTTCTGATGTCGTCCGCAAGTATTACGTTATGTGGTTTATATTTAACATTTGAACATAACTGGTCACGCTGTTAAATGCTCGCGTTATGCCAACAATTGGGTTACACACCAGCACAAATATATCACAAGATTAACAAGACTAAGGGTAAATGTTCTAGCACTAGATTTAAGTTGGTTTAAGCTCTTCAGTGAGAGCGCTGAAAGACTTCACAACAAGGAAAAGGCTGTAGATCAAAGAAAATTTCGTCAACGTTGGTTACGTCTTTTGAACTGACGCTTGAAAAGATAGACGCCAAACAATGAGCGCATTGGTGGTAATGTATGAAAATAGTTAAGGAACCATGTTTAACGTTCTTCCGAAGGTTTTGAAAATGAGAAATGTACTTTAACTGAAATATTATACAAAGAAGTACACGCTTTCTTTATATATCGTCATGGTTTTTACTTTTTAAATATACATGTAGATTTATTGTAGAAATAATTGTGTAACATTTCAATATTTTCTAAACTATAAGCCTTTTTTAACATCTGTAACGACGGGTGACCGACTCATGTCAATTTCTGTAACGAGTGATAGAGATGGTTATAAGTATATTTTTTCAGAACTATTACAACCGATTAAACCTGGTTGTGGCTTCATGAACCTGAATTAAATTACAGTCGGCCGTCTGGAAACGTAGTGGATCACTGCCGCCAAAGAAATCCCGTGTAGCACGAAGTGGAGGAAAGTACATGCTCATCATGTTTGCCAACTATGTATAAGTAAAGAAAACATCTTAATTTAAAGTTTTGTATTGCTATAACAGTATGAGGAAGTTTTGGTAGGACTTGTTCATATAAGTAAATATGTAAATACATGTATTTTATTTATTTTCAGTAACTGATACGTGACTGAAACTGTGCGCTCTTGCTCGTTTGAAATTTAGATACCGGTTTAGAATTGAGAAGTGAAGCGTATTAAATGATACTTTTATCCAGAATGATAATTGAATTGATTTGCTTGTTTATGTATTCTTTTGATAGCAGTTATGTCAAAGCCGACGACACTCTCCGCAACACACCGGTCATTAACATCAATAACTGCTGTGCCGGACAGGGTAGGTTGGACTATGAAACATTGGCTACCAACTTTTCAGTTACATTATCTGAACATAACGAGAAAATGGAAAATTTGATGCGAATTGTAACTGGAAATTCGATCATTCGTGACTGTCAGGATATACTGACTTTACGAAACAGAAACACAGGCATTTATATAATATACCCTAAAGGTACCCTTTGATTTCCAGTGAGATGTGACATGGATACAACAACTGGAGGATGGACTGTTTTTCAGAGAAGAGTATCGAAGAGTGACTTTTATAAAACTTGGACCGAATATCAAACTGGGTTTGGAAATCTAAGCGAAAACTTTTGGCTAGGTAATCAGCAACTGCATATGATAACATCACAGGGATGGTACGAGTTACGTGTTGATCTTACAAGTATGGGGAATATTGTTGCATATGCCGAATACAATGTGTTTGCCGTGGGTGATGTTGATTCTGGATACAAACTGACTGTGGATGGGTACAGTGGTAATGCAGGTGACAGCTTACATCATCATAATGGACGAAAGTTCTCTGCGGTTGATCGGGACAATGATGACTACAAAGGACATTGTGCAGTTGATCATACCGGACCTTGGTGGCATGGCTTGTGTCATGATTCAAATCTAAATGGAATGTATGGGGCTTTAGGTGCTAAAGGGCCTGTTTGGGAAACATTCAAAGGCAATAATGGGCCTATGAAGAAAACCCAAATGAAAATCAGACGTTGGAAGCCCGATGACTAATACATATTCATTTTTGGGATTTTTTTTCTCTTTTTGTTGTTACAGTACCGTATTTGTTTATCTTAAGGACAAAATCATTTAAAGACTTCCCTGCTAGAATCAATAGGAGGCGGATGTGAACTCAACTCATTATGGTTACTGTTTTGTAAACAGATTACTGTTAGCAACACTGATTTTTTATAAAAAGAAATACCTTAAAATATGATTTTTGCGTCGATGCTTGTAAATTTTGTTTTATCTGGCATTTATAAAGAGAATTTAAAAATCAAACAGAGGTCAAATTAGTGTATAAATAAGAACCACAAATCCTTTGATAATTTCCTTCGATTTTTTTTTACTCAAAATACGATTAAATCTGGTTTACGGTCCAATACCATGTATTTGGTACACCAATGTCTTTTGAATAAATGCTTTATTGAGTATAATGCATTGTTTGGGGATTTTTGTTTCCGCTGCCGTTTTTAAAAAAATTTTGATCATATCTTGGCGGTCGATCCACCTAATAACTTCTCATCATTAACCTTTTTGCAAGTGAGCTACTACTTAACCTAAACGATCTCTTACCGTTGAATTTACTGTACGATAAACATCAGTTTTTATTATGTTTATATATGATATTTTGAACTTTAGAATCACCTTTTCATTGAGCTTGTCGGAACTGTAATTTACCTTTCCTGTTCAAGAAATCATCATTAAAAATAAGTTATTTCTTTGTAGATTCCGTTCCGAAATTAACATTATGTTTATAACAATATAAGTATTTATTTAGAAGTTTTTTGTTGTCACTAAAACGTTCAAATATACACGCATATTATAATTCTCTATGACAACGATAAATATTTGCTAGACTGGCTTTGAATTCGTATATGTATTGTCATCACTTTTAACAGAAAATGTAGCAAACTATTATGTAATATTTGTAAAATGGGGTTTTTGTCCCCAAACACATAAGCGTGACGAACTATATTATTCAAACCACCATGCTGAATCAGTATCACTTAATATATAATAAAGTTAATATTGCGGCTACTTCTAAATGAGCCTTATACAATTCTAAATGACATCAGGAAAATAATCTTATGGTTTATGTTATTTATCTTTCTGATAAGTATCAATGTTTTATTTCATTACTTATTTCGTTTTGTAATATGAAGTAAATACGAGACGGCTTATATACCTATTTTACTTGATGACAATAATTTCCGATTTGACAAGAGTCCAAAAGTACTACAGTACTAGTATGCTGCCAGATAAACACCAAGTACCTATTTCATGATTTAAAATGAAATTTATTAAGTTCAACTCGATGTAGATAAGGTTTAAATAATCAATGTTCTTTTTTCTTAGAATGTTTATTGTAATTCCTCCAAATTTATTTTGGTGTTTGTAAATTGTTTATTTGTTATGGGTGACTGAACTGGTTTTGCAAGTTCAGTGATAGGTGATTGATTTTGTATGATAATTATTTTAGCTGATTTGATTTTTGGATAGCTGTAACTGACCACTTCTTTAATTGCTGTCGAAGTAATATCACCGCTTTCTGATATTTGGTTATTTCTTTACAGAAATATCGATAGATATAATAATAATTTATTTTTTACTATAATTATACATTTGAAGATCTTCTCTACATTAAACCTGATTTCTTTTTTGCACCTGAATTAATACTAAAAACATCATTGAGAGTTGTTGTACAACAAACCCCACCACTACATCAGTTTCATTTTTCGTCTTTAAACAAGTTTAACATAATCGAGACGTAAAATATATTTAAGATAGCATCTTAGTGAGACCAGGAAGACTGAAAGCATAAAGGTTATTGGCTAAAATAAAACTGATGATGAAACTTTTCATAAAATCTTTTTGAAAATTGACAATAGGCCTAAGTGGTAAAAGCAGATAAAAGAAGAATAGCATTTATTTAAAGCAGCACTCCTCAAGATTTAAGTTAATTTTAATGAAAATTTTAAAATATATCTAAATATCTGTATAACATTGTGAAGTGACCAAAAGGAAGCAATTTACACATTATCAATGACACTTGCAACCCACTTATTACAGAAAAGTGGTCATAATATGCAAAAATAGCCCTTACTTCGTGAGTAACGCAGTAGAAATATAGTTTTAAATACGGAAAATCAGTCACTAATCACACATACAGCCAGGTGCAAAAATATTGGTGAAAAGGGAAGTAACTGACGCAAACTTAGACTTTTGCTAGTCTCTCTTTACTGATTACATCTTTTTCAAGGCCGAATATGACGTCATATGATGACTTCATAGTTCTAGAATACTATTGTTTACCTTTTTGAGTGTTTATGTTCTTTTCTGTGTTAATCTAAAATGGGTAGGAAGGGAAGTGAAATCTCACAGGATGTACGAAAAGTCATTGTGGATTTATACAAGAATGCACATAAAGTGTGTAACATTACTAAATTGTTAAATTTACCTTACATGACTGTGCCAAATATTGTTAAAAGATTTTTGTGCAGTGGTTCTACTGAAAACAAACCAAGAAGTTGCAGGCCAAAACTTGTGACTGAATGGGATTATCGTCAACTGGAGCGTTTGGTTAAAGTCAACAGAGGAGACTCATTAAGTGATATTTCATCGATTTTTAATGAAAATAGAAGTAAAAAAGTGTTTAGGCGTACAGTACAGTATCTTTTGCGGAAACATTGATTTCATAGACGTGTTGCTAGAAAGCGTGTGGTCGTCAAGTGTGATAACAGAAAGAAACGGCTGGATTGGTGTTAAAACAAGAGCCCGGTTTGAGCCGGTTGATGCTCCCCCGAATAGGTTTTGGACACAAGAAAGTACACCTCTTGTAGTTTAAAAGTTATGTCCCTAGAAAAAGTTCAAAGTGCAATAATTCCAAAATAAGGCAAGGCAGAGTTACTGTTCTTTGCACTGCACTTCCAATCAATGTGGTCTATCAACCTACAAAGTTTCTTGTTGATATCTCTTATGGTTTCCGAGTTATGTCCCGGACAACTTCAGAAAGTAAAAATAAACAAAGGGCATTAACTCCAGAATTAGGTAAGGCAGACTAATGCAATGCATATCTACCAATTGAGATATATCTACCTACAAGGTTTCATGTTGATATCTCTTTTAGTATACGGCTATGTCCTGGACAAGAATTTTCTAAAAGGGGAGATAATTCAAAAATGAGGCTTAACAGAGTTATGGTTCCTTTGCACTGCACTTCTACTCGATGAGATCTATCTACGTACTATGTTTCATCTTGATATCTCTTAAAGTTTAGAGTTATGTTCCGGACAAAATTCAAAGTGTTAAAATTAACAAAGGGCAATAACTCCAAAATTTGGACAAAAGGGTTTTTTGTTCTTATGCATTGCACAACTACTCATTGAGATCTATTCACCTACAAAGTTTTATGTTGATATCTCTTATAGTTTTAGAGTTATGTCCCGGACAAGATTTTTTTATAAGGGGAGATAATTCAAAAACCGGGCAAAATAGAGTCATGGTTCTTTGACACTGCACTCCCCCTCAATGCCCTCTACCACTGTATGAAGTTTAAACAAATTATCTCCAAGGGTTTTCAAGTTATGCTCCGGACAAGACAACGGACAGACGTTCTACCTTTTTGGCTTTAGGGCTATTTTCTTTGTTATTTTCTTTGTTTTCTTAAGAACTACTAGCCCCTAAAACCTTTGATCACGGAATGAACTTATTGTTCTCTTTTGTTCTCTTTACTGTTATATAGCCCCTAAACCCAAAATGTTTGCTCGGACAGACGGACAGACGGACAAGGTGCCGAATATATGCTCCCCGAAATGTTTCGGGGAGCATAATAAAAGAAAATGGACAATAAATGGACAGTGGGATAAGGTTATATTTTCAGATGAAAGTCAGATTATTATTGGAAATTATCTAGCAGAGTATATGTGTGGCGGAAGAACAGTGAAGGCTATAGACCAGACTTGATACCACCTACGACCAACAGAAGCTGATATGGGGGTGCATTTGCTGGCATGGAGGACTTTAAGTAAAGTGAAAAGAATTAAATACATAGACATTCTTGAGGACAACATTTGTTCTGTTATTGTAAGACATTTTCCTGATAATAATTATTTATTTCAAGATGATAATGCCCCAGTGCACAGATCTTGCTTACTTCAAAAATAGCTGACAGCAGTCTAAAGTCTATTTCTTGGTCTGCACAATCATCTGACATTAATATTATTGAAAATGTATGGTTATACATCAAAAGAAAACTTCAATACAGACACCATGTTATCAACAGCAATGACGAACTTTTTAGTGAAATTCAGAGAATATGGATGGACATTCCTACCAGTTATGTTCAGAGTCTGTTTTTGTCTTTACCCAGAAGGTTAATGTCAGTTATCAGACTGAATGGACACTTTACTAAGTATTAAGGTAAAAAAAACAATTATTTTTTGCAGTTTGAGCAAACTAGTTACTTGTTTATGTGAAGGAAATCTATGATTGATTGATTCAGATAAATCCAATATGGCGGCTAAAATCACCAATACTTTTTGTACCTGACTGTAACATGAAAATAAATAATTGAATATTATTGTTTTGACTTTTCCTAATTTCTTAGAACAATTTTCTCAATTGTGATTTTATTCAAATGTCTTGGCTTATCTGGAGCATGTAGTTTTAGTTGTATTATCTAAAAAGTCTTTTACTTCTATATTTTGAATGTCTTATTCGACCTTCTTTAATCTCTTAATTATGTGATGAACATCTAAATATCACTGACGCTTTTATATGCGCTGCTTCAACATGAACAATATGATATTCAATATAAACTTTGACTGAAATTCTCTATAATAATCTGAGAGGATAAACATTATTGTTGAAATTGATAATAACTTCTATGAGTTATCAATTTAACATTCATTTCAAATGTGCTATCACAATTCCATAGGAAAGAAAAAATAAAAAACTTTATTTTTCTACGTAAACCCACTGTGGATTATCACGTGACCAGAATCGTACAATGGGCTCATAAAATGGCGGCCTGAATTCTGCTTAGTTGTTGTTTTAACTAAGTATTTGTTAAGTATACTTATTCTATATCCGGAGATTTATGGATTTCCCAAATTTCAGATCCGTAACAAAATAAACTTATTCCATAGAACTAAGGAATTTTAATTTTTATTCGATGTTAAACTTATATTTTCAAGAAGTGAATTTAGAGAATGAAGATCCTCTAAATCATATGAGTTCTAAAGCTACTTAAATAAACACTTTTTACATATTAAATTGTTTAAATTAAAGCCAAATGATAAATATAGCTAACTATGATAACTATAGTTAGTGAGAACTTTTGTGCAATTTTTGAAACTTTTTTTTTTCCGGACAAGCCGATTCCCGGCGATTACCGATTGTGTTCAAACAACCTTATTCTGCCGCTATTTAAGCAACCTTCGGCGACTCAAACGTCACACAACGCTCACAAGAACGTCATAGTGTGACAGTCCCATTACAAAAAGTCTTCAATTCGTTCGCTATTCGTCAAACCTGAAATGATTACAATATAGGCCTTGTTCGATACAAGTTTTAATAGTTACAAAATCGTTCTTGTGTCATTATATAACTTCATGCTGTGAATTCAAAAATGAGACCATAGAGCCATGGGCATAGTAACACTAAAATCCTAATTTTAATAATTTGTGAAAATGTTTAAAATTTTGATCAAAAAGATTTGCAGCTATTTTAGACAATGATATTTTCATTTAATTCTTTTTTTCAATGACTGACCTTTTCATGTAATAATAAAATTAGATATTACATATAACCGAGAATCATCTGTTGCATTAAAATACAACCGTACTTTTTAAAACGTACATTTTCAAATGTTTTTTACGAAAAGTATTCAGTGTGTTCTATGTTAAATGAGGGTCCATATGCCCGTTAAAATCAGCTTTCGCTGTCGAGCATGTACCGATGACATGTCACCAGGATGCCAATAAAGGGTTAATTTTGAAACACACGTGGTGATAATTTACCTTCGTGCAAATTTCACGGAGTATTAGCCAAAGATATGAAGTAGATCACTGTACGGCTGTCAATGAGAACCTAAATGTGCTCACGCACCCTAGTAAACTTTCCTCGTCGTCCATGTCACTCTCATCGGCTTTAGTCAGGACATCTGCAGCTTGTCCGCTTG